AAAATATCAAGCATGGGGCATATGTTTTTATATTTTATAGTTTTCTCTCTATTTTTTTATACTTTACACCCCTTATTTAAATATTTTAAATTTTAGATCCATTTTAATATCACATTTAGCCCAAATTTAAAATTTAAATTTTTTAACTCAAAACTTAGTGAATATTAACTCATAGTTTCACTAATCCTTTAAAAAATAGAAAAAAAGTTAATTTGATTAAACCAAAAAGACTTCATCCTTATCTTGAAAATACTAATTAAAGAATAGTTAAAAAAAATGAAACAAAGAATAAAAATTTAAAATTTAAATGTAAATTCATTGAATACTTTTCACTAGCTCGCTGCACTTGCAAGCTTATAATAAAAGGTTGAATTAAAAAATAAAAATAAAAAAAGAAAAATAATGAATTTGAAGAAATAAAAAAAGTTTTTCTCATACCAAGTTCCTGGCCCCACCTTTGATGACAGGAGATGAACTGGCGGCAACCAAGGCTTTCTTGTTAGCCAATCATAGTTTGAGAGTACTCGTTGACTTGACTTCATTTTTCTTTTTTGCCCAAACAATGACTTGATTCATTTGTCACTAAAGCCAAAAATGAGGATTGAATCTGACGAGTTATCCTTTAAATCTATTTTTAAGAATTTAAATTTAAAAAAATATTTTTTAAAAAAACTGGGCTTTAAAAACACAAACATGATGGACCATTAAAAAATAGGGTTGAGCGACCCTTTTAGATCCTTTTCCATTTATCTTTAAAAAAAATAAAATATTTTTAAACTTTTAATTAAATTTAATTTTTTTGTTTTGTTTAGGGCATCCTCATAGCCATGAGATTAAGGAGTTATCCTCTCAAAAGATATTTTTTCATATACTCTTCCAGAAATCGAAACCTAAGTTAAATTTAAAATTTAAAATATATATTTATATTTTAAAATTAAAATTTTTATTATTTATTTTTAATTTCTGAACATTATATTTTAAAATTAAAAATTTGTATTTTAAAAAATAAAAAGATAATCAAAATGGCCTTATAAGCTTAGCTTTGAGTTATTTGAATTATGGCTAAGTTTAAAAAATCAATCATTTTCAAAAAAATAAAACTTAAGGGTCAGACTAATATGAGCCAACCCCACTTATTTCTAACTCTATTTATGAGAGCCCTGGGTACATATCTGGGCGGGAATTATCAGTGTGAACTGTGAAGGCATTGACTCCCATCAAGTTATGGGTTTGAACTCAATCCTTATATTTATATATATAAATTTAATTAAAAGAAGTCTATTATATAGCTGTGTTAAATATTTGTTAGTGTTAGTAAAAAACAATCAGGTGTAGTGTCGGAAAGCATGTCAAAGATGTGGGGTCTCAAAAGGATGGAAGAACCTAACTTTTAATTAAATGTGGGGAACCTGAACTTTCTTATTACAATTCACCCGGATGTGAGAATGTGAAGTAAAAAAAATTAATATAGATGGAAGGAAGCAGATATACATCAATTAAAAAAGAGGTGGCGGGCTATGCTGGCTGTACAACAAAAAATAAAAATTAAAAACTACATGATAAAAGAAAAAATAAAATAAAGTAGCAAACGCAAAGTCCGAGACTAGCAATTTGTCCATGCTGATGAAGCTTGCTGAGAGAAGGCTCCTCTATTTATAAGTGATCTTAGCTTGGTACCCAAGCCCCATAATTGCTAGTTTCCTTGAATTTAAGAAGCACTTTCTCTATCATGACCACTCGTCATGGGTACAATGTGGATGGTCTTAATTTAATGGTTAAAACTTCATAAATATTTTCTTTAATTATTTTAAAACCAATTACATTGAGTTAAAAGTGAGCCTCCAAATTCACAATTTAGATACAAACAGTTAGAAAATCTTTGCCACTAATGTGGTCCTAGCCAACTTTGTCCATGAATAATGGATAATTGTATCATTTATGGTAATTGAGGGATATAATATATGTTGTCCTGAAAATTTACATGTTAATAATTCAGTTAAAATTAATTCAATTATTTAAAATCAATTAATTATTAAAAAATCTTATAAATTCATAGAACTGCCCGTAATCGATTTTAAAATAAAATTATTAAAAATTGATGGTTTTTCTTTTCTATCATTGCCTTCTTCTCATTTCACTTTTCCCTTCTCTTCCCTGTTTTGCCTGAAGAATTCCCGTCAAAAAGCCAAGTTAAATTGATTTTACTCCCCCCCCCTCAAAATAATCATTTTATCATTAATTGTATTTATAATAAATTGGAATAAATATGTTTAAAGATAATATTAAGTTTTAAATAAAAATAAGTTAATAAATTTGTAAGAAGTTTTTTTTTTGTCCCAAACTTTTAAGAGGTTAAATGGATTTTTTATGTGAGTGAAACTAAATTTAAATTTAAACTTGGATGTATTTATTTATTTATTTTTGTGTTTTATGGTTCCCGACCGCGGCGGGGTTTTTGTTGTGAAGGATGAGGTAGAAACTTGGCTATGTGATCCGACCTTTCCCATGTTGTTGATGTTGTGAAGAACATAGGCCTATGTTTTCATAATTGATATTCTCTCCATTTTTATATATAAAATATTTTTTATCATATCAATAAAATTTTTTTGCTTAATTAAAATTTCATTAAATCATAATATTATTTTTTAATGTTATCTCTGACAATATCAATTAACATCATGGTATGGTAGTAGTGGATAAAACATTTAATTAATATATGTCTTTTCTTTTTTTTAAATAAGAACAAAATTACTTAATTATTTAAAATTATTATGATTTATATTAAAAAATAAAATAAGTTTCTGAAAATCTTCGTGCACATATTGGGACGGACGGAGGATGGCGTACCATTGAATGCACGAATAAATTAGCCACCAGGGCACCTTCATCCACCGGATACAGTAGCTGCATTTACTGCCTGCACCTAACGAGAGAGAGAGAGAGAGAGAGAGAGAGAGAGAGAGGAGTTGAACTTTCGACTTATTATTGCCTGTCACACTGATTAGGAACTGACCATCATTAAAGATAGGGAGGAAGGACAAGGAGGAAATAGCATTGAAATACTCCATTCGTTTTCTTAAGGTGTATTTGATTGAGAGATTTCAGAGGGCCTCTTCCCTCCTCTGATTAAGAAATTTTAGAAGAGCTTTTTTGAAAGGGAGTTAATTTTTTATAATTATTTTATTTTTTAATATTTAAATATATTCATAATTAAAAAAAAAAACTTCCCTTCATATTAGATTGTGCTTTACTCTCAAACCTCAACTGATCTCATTGGATAAAAAAATTAAATTCATCATATTTATTATATATTTAAAGGAGTTATTAATTTTTAATAAAAACTGTCATTATGGTTATTGGTTTAATTTTTTATTCACATATTGACATATGATAGGATAATAGTGAATTTTTTAAAATCATACATTTAAATTGAGGTGTAAAATTATTTCTATAAGGAATAATTACAAAATTTTAAACTAATATTTAGAAATATAATGGTAAATTAGTTATTACCTCTCCTCCAATAAAACCAAACAAATTAACATTAAAACCCTCCCTTCCATCACCTCCCTTCTCCTCCTTTTAAACCAAACACACTCTTAAGAAAGTGCCTGTGAAAATAAACAAGGGGAGAAAGAGAGTGAGAGAGGGATTATTACTACCTGTTTCAAATTATGAAATTCTTTTAGAGATATTTTATTATTTAAAAATATAAGGTAATTTAAAAAATAAATTTTTATTAATAATATTTTTAAATATTATCCTTTAAAAATAGAAAGAAGTAAAATGATTGTTTTATAACAATTAAGTGTGCAAATTTAAACAAAAAAATATTTTTAAAAGTTTATATTTTTGTCATGAAAAATAAGCTTGTAAAGTGTCTCTATTGAACTCTATTAATATGTATAATTTTATCTCAAATTATTTATAATTTGAGATGGAGAGAATATTAATTAATAAATTTACAGTGGAGAGAGAGAGAGAGAAATCATGAGCGAGAGAGAGGATGAGGAATTTTGTTTTTTGAATGAGAAGGGCAGGCATTAAGAGGGCAATATATGTGAGAAGTGCTTTAATCATAAGAATTGTTTTGAATTTTTGGAAAGAAATGGATTATAATAATTTTTAAATGTTGATGAAATCTAATGATTATGATTGAAACACTTATTAAATGAATAGACTTAACTCACTCACCAAATCTTGGTTATTGGCACCACTTGTATTATAATCGGTTGCATAATAGAGAATTACTAATGATAAGAATCGAGGATATAATACTCTCGGGAATGTTTTGGTTGAAGATATGGAAAATAATATTCTTCTATTTCATAACATGCATCTGTAATTTTCTCAACAATTATATATATTATTGAATGACATATCATATCTGTTCTAATAAAAAAATTCATTTTTAAATCCATTTATTTAATTTAATTTGATTACCTACATTAAAAGGCTTTTAAACAAAAAAAATGTTTTAACCTTTAGTAATATCAGCAGATCATCTCAACTAGAAATTTTATTGAAGACACATGCATGCAACAACACTACTGCAGGAACATATAGAATAAAATAATAACACTAACATACACATATAACTAAGGGGTTGGTTGTAGTAGAAGGAGCACTATTACAAAAACGCCTTTTAAGAGTGCCCATTCTAAAGCACTTGAAAAAATGCTCCAAACGAGTTATGCGGTCTGAAACTTTCTAGAGCACTTTTCTTTATAAGTGCTAGAGCAAACCTTTGGGAGCTCTTATAAGGAAAAGCTAGTTAATCTTTTAAGGCGAACTAAAATTTTCAGTTTGTTATAAAAAGTGTCAATATTTCTAATGTACAATTATGTTTTGAACATAATTGCTTTCAATAAAAAGATACTTATAAATAATTAAAAAAAATAACACCAACACATATAACAAAAATAACAAAAGCAATATAAAGTATATCATGTTTCTCTCGTGCGCCGCCCTGAGCAAGGCAGATTGCACAAATTGACACGTCATACAAAGCAACAAGATTTGCTTTCGCTCCTTGCCCATTTTGAAATCTTGTTAATTGTCCTAACACATTTCTTCACTATCCAAATGAAAAAGCGCAACATGATTAACACTGTAATAAGCACAAGCGATCCCATCAAGGCCAAAGCTGATGCTATAATCGTTAACAAAGTTGATTCCTTATAGAGAATTTCGTCTGGGAGCGCCATTGTGAGGGCAAAGAAGTAGGCAAGTGCAAGGGACGTGAGAGTGATACACATGCCTATTGATAGCAGCCATATCACAACTTTATTTTTCAAAGGAAATCCACTTACAAGCAAAATAGTGACACACACTGATGAAATGAAAGAGACCGTATTGCAATCTATGTACCACAGAAACTGAGATTCGGAAGCAAAGGATGCCATTGCATGTCCGGGACAATAAGTAACCCCACGGTCAAGAACTTCGGTGCAGTTGAATAAGTAATCTGGTGTCGTTGTTACATCAGGGTTAAGAGAACCTTGAATGAAGCCTCCAGGTGGATTGACTATGGCTTGAAAAGTTATAGTTGCTATAACAGTAGATACCAGACTCAGATTCCCTCTCATCACTTCTAACCAGTCACCTTTATGTTTGAGCCAATTATCGATCCCTTTCACAATCCTTATGAAGCAAATTCCAATATACTTCAAGAAATTTTTACAGCACTTATTATCATCACGAGATCTTGCCATTCGTTCTTCATTGGCAGCCTCCTTTAACATGAACTTTATTTCAGAGGTTTTGAAGTCGTTTGGATAATGTTCTTCGCTATCATGAGCGGTGAAACCTTTTTCATTCTTCAACTTTGCTAATTCTCTTATTTTTGGAATTACAGGAGATACCTTATAACCTAAATAACAAACAAGTTAGTAAAGTATACGGTCAATTGTGTAACTTGCGAATTCATATAACTTTTTTCTATTTTTGTGCTCATAAACAGTCATGTCCTATCAAGACAGTAATTGAAATTGTTGCAATCAAAGTTCACTTGCGATTACGTTACAAGTAGCAACCTCTATATTACTGCATGATTTTCTCACATGAAATCTATCAGTAAATGGACGGATGAAATTAAACAGTTTGAATATGAAATATACAGAGAGAAATTTATATGTTTGTTATATTATCTATGATACACTGCCATATAACTTTTGAAACCGTTATCACATTTAATGAAGGAAAAACCATAGGAAAACAAGTACGTATGTTGTACCTCCGCTCGGTTCAACTTGACGGCAAAATGAAGAACGGTATTGCCAGCACAATCAGGTCTTCTGAAGTTGAGAAGGTCGCCAGCAATAGCATAATCCAATTTCACCAAAGCTTGGAGAGTTTCTAAATGGTTGTATTTCACACAAAAGTGAAAAGCAGTTTTTTTATAATTGTCACCTAGACTCAAAGAATCTGGCTTGGCTTTGATCAGCTCTTCTGCAACCTTTGTTCTACCCCTCATAGCAGCATAGTGCAGAGGAATTCTTCCTTCTTCATCATGAAACAAGCATGGGTCTTTGTTATGTTGTAGCAGTTTCAGCACGATCTCCAAGTTACCCTCTGCAGAAGCCAAGTGGAGGGCTGTGCTTCCAGAAGAATTTTTCACAGTGGCAAGCTCGGGATTGCGACTGAGAATGGCCTCTGTGAATCTAACATGATTCAACAATGCCGATATGTGTAAGGGATTTTCGCAATTTGAAATGTCGTAAAGGATTGACCAGTCTTGCGGTATCAATGAGTTCAAACCTGTTACTGCATTCCTACTGCTTGCTGCCCTATTGAGAACGCTCATTTGGTCACTTTCTTGATGAATCGAAGTCCTTAGTTCGCTGAGTTCCATCACTCGCCTTGGATAACGCATCATTATATGGCACCCTTTATAATTTATATTGATGGATTATTATAATCTGGCACCGTACGCCTTGACTTTTCTGTAGTGTCACATTCAAATTTGAGCTAAAAATATCCTTAATCATTTTAGATTTTAGAGGTGTAATTAATAATATATTTTAATTTAAACATCTTATTAAATACAGGTAAACATAAAAAAAAATGTAATTTTAAATGTCATTAACTAAGTTATTGAATGTGTAAATTAGTTAAAAGTTAGTTATAATTCTTAATGTAGGGAGTATAATGATAAGGTATGCGGATCTCTTATTAAAGTCACGTGCACTCTTTTCTATTTGTAATTTTGTACTCCCTTTGTCCAGTATTATGAGACTTTTTTTTTTTAATTTCATCTTAAAAACTATAAGATATTTTGGGTTTTCAAGGTGTAATTAATGAAATTTTTTTAAAAAAAATGCCATCAATTAGGGAGTGAAATTAATAAGATTTTTTAACTAAGACATATAACTATAAATAAGAGTAAACATAGAAAGAATGTATATTTTTTTTTACTAGAAAAGAGTTAGAAAGAATGTGTAATTTAAAAGAAATTAACTAACTTATTATGGGTATAAATTAGTTAAAAGTATCTTATAATTTAAATTAAAGAGAGTAAAAAAGAATGACTTGATTAATTAATGTCGATACATGCAACGTTATAATTCTTACTCTTCGTTGCTCCATACCATTTTTAATTATTGGGAGTATAAATTAGTTAAAAGTATCATATATTTCCCTATCTTCATTATGTACTCCCTATGTTTTCGATGATGGTCAATTTCTAATTAATGTCAACACATGTTAAATTGCTAGATGAAGGCAATACTTAGTTGAAAGTTCAACTGTGTTTGGGTTGGGATGAATTTTTCTTAATGACTTGTCGATAGAGTTGTTAATAAGGACAGGCTCAGTCCTTAATTATAGACTTAATCTTTATGAACCTGGTTCTTAAAGGTTCTAACTCATAAACTCACATTCCTAAATTAACCGTGTTTTTCAAATTTGGTTCTCATTGACAGGGTTTAGGACCGTACCCAAAAACCTGCATAATTTTTTTAAAATTTTTTTATTTAAATTACTAATTAAGTTAACGTATAATTTAAAAATTGTATCATTTTCTGAATTTTTGACAAATATAAAATTATTAACACAAGTTAAAAGGAGGTTGGATACAAATTTTTTTAATTAAAAATATAATATAATAGAAAGAAAGCAAAGAAGTGCCATGTCCTGTTAAGTATCAAATGCAATGGAAACAGGAGAGTAAGTTCTTTGGCATTATAAGATCGGAAGATGTGAGATCGGATTGGCTTTTCTAGTATTATTTTTTTTTTTCCTGCATATAATTATTTGTTTCAATCAATCAACATTTTTACTTTTCAGCCTGTGCCAGTCTCTAATTGTAATGTCCATATACGCAACTAATTCATTGGTGGGATGAAGGCAATAATTCAAGTTGAAAATTCAACCATGTTAAATAATGCTTATCTTCATCCAAACCTCTCATTTCTTTTCGAAAGTGATTAAGATATGGTTGACTCAATGTGTCAAAAGTCAGGAGATATGCTCACACAAGGGATAATAAGATACTTGTGGCTTAAATTTGCGTAAGAAAATTCATGATGTGTATACTTCGGCTTTATTTGATTAAATGAAAAATAGTTCAGATTCAATATTTTACAAGTGGATCTTTTTTTTCTTTTAGTTTTTTCTCTATTATAATTTTGGATTATTCAAATCAATTTATTTTTCTTAATTTAATATTCTTACAATTTTTTATACCAAAGAAACAAATTATATGTGAGGTGAAAGTGTGTTCGGCCTGAAATTAAAATATGCTAAGCATAATTATTTTTAAAAAAGAAAAAATGGGTCTAAAATCCAAATAGTTTTGTAAAGCCACTATAGGAGACCTGTATGATTAAAGTATAACACTACATTTGTCCAAACTTATAAGACATTTTAAAAAGATTAAGATTTTATTAAATAGGCTTATTCTAATATTAGTCTTTATCTCTCTCTATTTAATACTAATTAAGTGTAGATTAATTTAAGGTTATGAAATGAAGGGTATTTTTAAAATTTTATATTTTTATTTCAAAAAAATAAAGTTGTTAAGTGTATTAAATGAGATTTATTAATATGTGAGATTTTATTTTAAAGTATCTTATAATTTAAAACTGAGCGAGTACTTTTTAAAAAAAAATTAATCATTTGATTCTTATAGTTTTAATTGAGTTGTAACTTAGTTCTTGAACTTTAATTCATTATAATTAAATCTCTGAAGTTTTGACTCGATTATGAATCAGTCTTTAAACTTTGCCTCTTATGATTTAATTCTTGTAGTTTTAACCTTTTAAATATTAGTTCTTATATTTAAAAAATAAAATTATAAAGATTAAAAATATTTTAAAATTTATTATTAATATTTTAAATTACTAAACCCTTTTAATCTTTATAAATATTAAAAACTTAAAATATTTGTAATCTTAATAATCTTAATTTTTTAAATATAGGGACTAATATATAGGACGTTGAAACTATAAGAACTAAATCTCAAGAGATAAAGTTCATGGACTGATTTACAATCGTCAAAACTTCAGAGATTGAGTTATAATAAGTCAAAGTTCAAGAACTGAGTTACAACTCAATTAAAATTATAAGGATCAAATGATTAATTTTTTCTTAAAAAATTAACAGCAGAGAGAAAAAGAATTACACAAAACATCAGTCAAAGCAGTTGACAGCTTGAGGTCATCGTTGGTATTTGCCAGAAGTTGGGGTAATTAAGAAAGAACATATATAGTGCTTGTTTGGATTTCAGTTGGGTATAATAAATTATAAAAATAATTAATTAAATGATAAATTTTAATTAAAATTAATTATGTTATAACGCAATTTGTTTGGATATTATTTTTTTAAAATTAATTTTAACTTAATATATGTTAACAACTTTTTTAAAGATTTAAAATTTGAATTTTACTAAGAAAAAAAAAGAGAAGAGAAGAGAGTTTGATTTTTTTAAATAAAATTTTGTGCGTTTTTATAATTTTTTGAGTCTTTTTTTATAGTTTCTCCAATACTTTTTTATCAGCGTTCTCAAAAAAGCTCAGAATCTTGGCTTTTGAAAAAAAAGCAATTTTAATGGTTGAAATCGATTTTTTACTTTTTCAGGTGTTTGGCTAATAAACCAAATAATTGATTTTTTTGAGAACAAAATTGATTAAAGACGTATCCAAAAAGGCACATAGGTAACCAATTAGCTATTAGAAACTTAGATTCAGTTTATAAGTTATTTTTAATATATTTTACTGAAATAAAAAAATATAAAAATTTATTAACTTTATCTATAAATTTAACAATTTTCTAACTTTATTTTTATTAAATACACATAATTTAATAACATATTTGTCTCTTGAAAAATCAATGGAGGGCCAATAGAAAAATTTGTAGTGAAAATTTAATGAAATAATTTATAAATAAAATAATCAAAAATCTCCACTCTCTACCTTATAACCGAAATCAAATGAAGCATGGGAGAGGCAAGACACTAAAACATTCAACCAAATTAATGATATCCAATAATTTATGAGAAAATCACAAAAAAGTCCCACCCATGAATTCTAATTTTTAAGAAATCTCATGAAATGCTCAAAGAACTTCATAGTCCCATAGACTTTAAGGGTCATTAATTCTCAGTGTAGATTTACCAAAATATCCCTATTCTTTCACTCCCCCCTAACTCCTCTCTCCCCTTCCGCTTTGCCAAAATTACTTTTAGGCCTCGTTTGGTATAATAGAAGAGTTTTTAATGGAATCAGAATCGAAATCAAAATCAAAATAGAATTGAGTTTTAAAAGTATGTTTGGTATGAAAATAAAATTTTAATATAATATTAATTTGTATATGTACTTAAAATAAGAAAAGACCAAATTACTCTTTTTTCTCAAAATTAAAAAGACCTACCTTGTTATAAATGGACAAAAAAGATGAGAATAGTAAGGTCTACAAATTGAATTCAAGGGAATTGAAACAATTCCATTGTCAATATGATGGAATTAGATTCTAGCATTTTTGGTGGAATTAAATTCTTAAGAATTATAACTCTTGCATACTAATTATATTTAAATTAGGATTTCATTTCTAATTTTATTTTCACCTTACTAATTTAATGCTACCAAACATGACTTTAACGTTGTCTCCCCCACCCCTCTTCATTGGCGAGTAAATATATAGGATCAGGCAGCTCCCCAGTAACACTAGCAGTGCTACTTCCAATCATCTCACCGAAACTAAAGAAAAATAGTTAAGTCATTAAATGATAGTTATATTACAAAAATGCAAATAATATCCCACCAAATACCTTATGTTAAGGACTAGCAATCTTTTTTAAAAAATGTCTTATGACAAGAACCTGATAGAGTATGGTGATGAGATTTGAATCTTTATATAAGTCACATTCTGGTGCACATGTTTGGCACCAAAAATTTCAAAATTTTAATAAAGAACCAAAGAGGCAAAGATTGTTAATGAATTACAGGTATAATGAAATTTCAATGATCTATTTCATCCCTCACTTTTAATTTTTAACATTTAGTCCCTTTCATTTTCTTAAATTCTCAAATTAATATAATGTGTAAAATATGTTAATGACTTGGCATATATATGTAGTTAAATGAGAATAAATTAGCTTTCAAAACAATTTAATTTTTATATCAATGTAATTATTTAATGCTGTATTATATTATTTTACTTTTAAAATTTGAGAATGTTTTTTTACCTAAATAATTATGTTTGTTTTTTCATTAATCTACATAGTTGTTATCAATATTTCTTTATTCATGTTGGATATGACAATGCTGTCTTTTTTTTTCAAACAATAAGGACCAATTCAATAACTGATACAAATTAAATAGACCTAATTGACACTTGAGACAAACTTAAGGAACTAACAGTTTCATTATTACTATA